TATGTGACATTCCGGTCATAGAAGTTACAGGATTGCTGCTAACTTTGGAAACAGGTACAAGCTACCACAGGCTCTGGGTTAGTATTATATCTTTTTGTGCCTGAGTATATACTCCTAGCGTACGATACTAATTTCTTTGTAGCGGGTGGCCACTCAATGTCTTTCTCACCCCAGATCTACAGCCCGTCTTCGGCGGAACATACTGGCCAGGTCCACACGCTGGGGGCGCAGTAAAGGAACAAATTGGCTTCCTAGAGGTGCTGGAGAAAATCGTGAAGGTTTGGAAAGAACAGCAGCAGAAGTGCCTAATGTCTGCAAGTGACATCATGAAGCAATTAAAAGACTTCACAGACGAAGGTCTGAAAGGTGGCGAGGGCGAGGGTCTTGAATTGGACTTGCTGGAAGAGTCTTATCAACACTTTATGGCCCGCTATGACCCAGTGAATGGCGGGTTCGGGAGCGCTCCCAAGTTCCCTACACCCGTCAACCTAGCATTTCTTCTACGACTGGGTACATTCCCAGCTACAGTGCAAGACATCGTTGGTGAAATGGAGTGTCGCAATGCAAAGTCGATGGTGATAGCAACTCTTGAGGTTTGTTTTACGTCCTACTATGATTGGCAAGTATATATATTGACACTGTAAAGAAAATGGCGAGCGGGGGTATCCACGATCATATCGGTCATGGGTTCTCCAGATATTCTGTGACTGAGAATTGGAGTTTGCCCCACTTTGAGAAGATGCTTTATGATCAAGCACAGCTTCTGAGTATTTATCTTGATGCCTGGTTGGTAACTAGTTCTGAAAAGCTACTTGATGCTGCCAAGGATATTACGGATTACATCTGTTTAGACGCCTTGAAGAATCCCGGGGGAGGCTTCTTCTCTTCGGAGGATGCGGACTCCCTTTATAGAAAATCAGATACAGAGAAGAGAGGTTAGCATTTCCCCTCGAGAAGTAACCTACGCAAGTTTCTAATAGCTGGGGTTAGAGGGAGCATTCTACGTCTGGACAAGGAAAGAGTTCGATATGATCCTGGGAGAGCAAGAGGCTTCCATATGCGCCAAGTACTGGAACGTCCATCGTGATGGAAACGTTGACCCTGAGCAAGATCCACATGATGAGTTCATTGCCCAAAACGTTTTGTCCGTTGTTTCGAACGTAGAAAGGCTCAGCCAGATGTACGGGATGGGTCCTGAGAAGATAACTGGTATAATTAGTACCTCCCGCAAGAGGCTATTGGAACACCGTTTGAAAGAAAGGCCAAGACCTAATCTAGATGACAAGATCATCACAAGCTGGAACGGACTGACAATTGTTGGCCTTGCCAAGGCGGCTGCTACTTTGGCTGAAGTCGACCCGGCACGGGCTAAGACTTGTCTTAAGAATGCTGAAGAGACAGTTGCATTCATCAGGAAAAACCTCTATGATGAGAAGACTGGGATCCTGAAAAGAGTTTACAGAGAAGGCCCGGGAGAAACACCAGGATTCGCGGATGATTATGCGTTTTTGATTTCCGGATTGTTGCATATGTACGTGCCAGAGCGCCTTTTGATGGTTTATGTGTGGAACACTTTCCTAACGCTTTTTCTGGGTTAGGTACGAGACAACCTTCGATGTAAGCTATCTGCAGTGGGCAGATAGGCTACAAAAGAAGCAGATTGAGCTTTTCTGGGACCCTGAAAATGGCGGATTTTTCTCCACTAGCGAGAATGCATCAGATCTAATTCTGAGACTTAAAGATGGTATTAAACCCCAAGATTCTATCATGCAGAAACCATTCTAACCTCGGAATTTTTTTAAAGGTCTTGATTCCCAAGAGCCATCCACCAACGGTGTCTCTGCGAACAACCTTTTCCGCCTAGCTACGATCCTTGGAGATTCAAGTCTTGAAGAGCTCGCCCAGAAGACATGTTCCGCATTCTCACCGGAGCTCTTACAGCATCCGTTCCTGTTCTCGTCATTGATGCCATCAATAGTCGCTTCAAATCTGGGCATGCGTTCCGTTGTACTTGCTGGTAACCCGGAAGATCCAACACTTGCAGCGCACCTGAAGCATTTGCGAAAGAAGCTGTTGACGAACACGACAATCGTACAGCTTGATCCCGCCAAGAAGGATTCGCTAGATTGGTTACTCAAGAGGAACTCTCTGCATGATGCGCTTTTGAAGAAAGCTACCAGAAAAGGCGGAAAACCTGTAGTCCAGGTCTGTGAGGGTACAAAATGCTTGGACGCATTCGAGATGAGCGATATTGAGAGTGTTCTTGAGGAACTGGGCTGAGATTTTGGGTTATAAATGATTTGAATATTTCTGGGGGGTTCTTGTAATGGGCAGCCGTTTAGTTATATAGTTTATCAACGTTTTCCCGTCTCTTTTTTCTGTGTGAAGTACATGTACCTATTACATGTTGTAGGCAGTGCGAGTGATAACCACAGCATGCGTATCCAAACAAAACCTGTGGCGCAAACCGTCGCACAAGAGGCGACAGGCACCGACTACCGGCCCCGGATTAACGATTCTCCGGCGGGCTGGAAAAGCGCCGATTGATGATGACAATTTGACTGATTAGTAAAGCGACACATGGTGCTGCAGCGAAGGCCGAAGAAGGCGAGGCTTAGATAGAAAGCTCTCTCAAAACCTCTGACTGGGGCGAAGTCAGAATATAATATCCTTCTTTACCTGCACCTCCTCCATCCCCAGCTCGCACCCATTCAACCAGCACCCTCCCCTCATCTAAATCAACACCTACAACACCACAGTCAGTCCAGTTCACCAGTGACCACAAACATGTCCGGCCCCATCAAGCCCGCCAAACCCACGCCCTTCCGCGACTGGAAGAAAGCCACCGAATCCGCGCTCTACAGCTTCGCCAACCTGCGCACGCTGCAGCACCTGCCGCACCACGAGACGTCGCTCAAGTTCCTCGAGCGGCTGCGCGACGACCCGGGCGTCAAGCACGTCATGCGCAAGCACAAGTACTCTGTGGGCTTGCTGCTCGAGATGGAGCCCGCGGGGAACACCACGCACGAGGGGAAGACGCTGGGGCTGAATAGGAATAAGGGGGAGGTTATTGAGGTCAGGCTGCGCACGGACTGGTATGATGGGTGGAGGGACTATAAGACGGTGAGGAAGACGCTCATGCATGAGTTGGCGCATATCGAATTCTCGGAGCATGATAGGGATTTTTGGAATTTGACGAGTGAGTACCTACATTAGTGCCCTTTTCGTTGTTTTTGATGTGGAGGCGATGGCTGACGGTTATGCTTGTGGTGTAGATCTGCTGGAGAAGGAGTGTATAGAGGCCGACTGGACGGTGGGTGGGCGGGCGCTCACGAACGAGGTGTTCTATAACCCGCCAGAGCAGGAGAAGCAGGATGAGGCGGGGTGGAAGGGCGGGTCGTTTAAGCTTGGTGGCGGGGGGACCACGAAGAGCTCGACGACGGGTGCTGAGAAGCCGGTCGGGCAGGAGTTGAGTAGGAGGGAGATAATGGCGAGGGCGGCGGAGGAGAGGATGAAGAAACTGACTGTGGCGGCGGCGGCGGCGACAGCTTCGAGCTCCGCCTCCGGCTCTTCCTCTTCTGCTAAGTAGTCAGGGACTGGGCCTTTTTTTTTTCTTTCCCTTTTCTCTTTTCCAATATCGTTTTTATCTTCTTTTTATAATGGGTTTGGGAGGCTTGGTGTATTATATTTGGTTGTTTGCTTTTCGGCGAGGGGCTCCCCTCGAGGGGGCTCGGTTTGGTTGATACCTATCATTGACCTCTATCCTAGTGATGTGGTCGGTATTTTTTTTTATGAGTATTCATGCATATGCAGATTTTATGGATTTGAGCAGGCGCTTAACCTTGCTGTTTTTTGTTAGAAGCTTAAGAATAAAATTTCCTCATCATAAAATCATATAGCTGGAGTGATATTACGTGATGCAGATGCAGATATCAATCATCTAGTTTACCTTTTGACCTATATTGGGACTTTATATTATGTGAGGGAAGATAGGTTTAAGGGAGGCGTTTGAAGATAGTCCGAGGTTTGCTAGATATGCACTATGTAGCTGCATCGAAGCTGTCGATTGCTGGAATCCCGAGAATCATGAGAAATCACCATGCATGCATGTCTTGGCCACCACACAGGACACCATTTACAGAAGCCTGATTTCTGTCCAAACTATTATTACATACGGATATATGCCCAAGTAACAAACACAGAAAAAAAGAAGAAAAACACATGACTGTGACTGGATAAATTCATTAAAGCTAACTAGGTGTCGGGTGCGCTTTGCTGGAGCGCTGCGCAAAGGCGCAAGGGCGCGGGTGGCGACCGAATATTCTGGAGTGGTGTGGGGAGGGGCGCGGATGGCGACCGAATATTCTGGAGTGGTGTGGGGAGGGTTAGGGGTTGATGGGAGCGGAAGGGAAGGTATATTAAAGGGTGCAACCGCCCATTTTCTTTCAAGATTAACTTGCACTCCTTGCACTCCGACTGAAAAAGGTGAGTATTGTGTGTAGGTATTATATAAGCTGACAGGGGTAGAGGGGGAAAAAAGGGCGTATATACGCCCTTTTTTCCCCCTCTACCCCTGTCAGCTTACATAATCGCTTATATAATTGCTTAGTAATAGGATAATTTTTGCTGATATAATTAGTTAAAACCGTATTTTAATAGCAAAACCGTATTTTCGATACCTAAACCGTATTTTCGATACCGGAACCGTATTTTCGATATCAGAACCGTATTTTCGATACCAAAACCGTATTTTCGATACCTAAACCGTATTTTCAATATCTGAACAAAAATTTACGAAGAATAAAAAAGAAAATTATTAGTTATGGTATTATTTCTATAATTCTATTTTTACTTTTTATAACTAACATTCATTATAGACATTTCAACCTCATTACGGGAGCCTTATTAAGAATCAAATTAAGTTCCGGCTAAACGAACCGATTCTTCATAAGGCTGGTACGAAGCTTTCTATCACTCAATTGCAAGATATTAAGGCAAAGATGTCTCAATGTACTTTCAATCCCTGCGATTACCCCGATCTACACATTGCAGTCAGTGGTCAACCTCATTATCGTCAGTTACTCGATGACAACAACCAAGTTATCGGTGAATGGTTTAAGTTCATGTATCTTGACCAAAGCGATATCGGCAAATTCAATGATCCTGAAATTCTCCGTCTTCACAAAAATCTTGCTGAACACGTACGTGGCAATTTCGATTACGGGTTGCAGAAATGGGAGTCAGGTTTCCAGAAATTCGATCACGATATGACTGGTAATCGTGATGGTCCGAATACCGCCTATACGACCGGAATCGCACTTCAAGGTTCTTACGCAGCAGCCCCTGCTGTACATTCAACTTGGGAGAAAACTAAAGATCCTGAATTTATGCAATGGTTGGCCAAATTCCATTGTATCCTTGGCGATCTTGGTGGACGTGTTATGTCAACTGTTATGGACGACGTCTATAATCAATTCACGAAGGAAAGACATGAACGTTACAATCCACCATTTTTTGGGCCATCTACTGGTTCACAAACCTATTTCACTTCATCGCAAATCAACCGTAGTACCAACACAATGAGATTGCAAGGTACAGCTGCCGGTGTTCATTGTGATTCCACAGACGATGAACTTTCCTTTTCGCTTGCTCTTAACGTGTCGGTCATCAAAGATTCAACTTCGCTTGGATACTTCTGGTTTCCTGATTTCGATACATTGATCCCAGTCAAACCAATGTCTATGATCATTTTTCAAGGTATCGAAGAACACACTGGAATGCCGATGGTTCTAGATAACAACGATTCCTCATCTCTCCCTTTCGGATATACTGAAGATACCCGTTTCAATATTATCTGTTATCCTAAAGGACCGACAATGAAGAATACCACCTATCGGAATTATGGTAGCTTTGTCAATTCTGCGCCGGAACGTCCTAATCTCATGGCTGATGCTCTTTCTAGTTTTGGGGGAAAGGAAAACTATGATACGTGGAGAGCTAGAGAGATTTTAAGAGTTAATATTCCGAATATCAAAAATATTTTTGGAAGACACATTGCAATTAATATTGATGCTGAAGCTCAATATAATTCGATTTCTTTTCCGGATAACGATTCGCAGTATACACTCACTCCCTATTCCGTTTCTGCAAACAATTCCGTTGAAGTTGAGAATCTTACACCACCGGAATCACAAGCGGTAATCACTACACAACATACCCCATATCAAACTATTAATATCAAAGATATTTTTGATAATACTTTGTTTGATACCTTTATCGACAAACTCCGTCAGAAAATCAACTTTGTACGCCATACACCTTTTAAATCATCCATTACCGAATCAAATTCGAATGCGATAACATCATTGATAACCAATTCGAATGTTGAAAATCCGATTAATCAGAATTCGATTCATATTGCGGAAGATGAAAACGATATCAATGATATTTCTGATATTCAACTGTTTGAATATAATTCAGAAAAAAATCAAAATCTTTTCGATCATATCGGTGTCGACAATGATAATGATAATGAACCTCCAGTACGTACGGTTGATGATATCAATTCCTTTGAGCTGTTTGAATTGGGGGCTATCGAAAACTTTATTGCGACACTCAAGGAAACATCATTAATGATGAAGAATCAACATACGTTTTCAATCCGCGACGAATTAAAAGATCAAATCCCGTTCCTTCCACCTGTTGATCAAACTGAAATACAAGATCCATCTCGCTTCATTCCTGATTTCTCAACTACTTATTCCCGTATTTTGGGAACGCTCTCAAAAAAAGCAAGTCAGCTAGATCCCCTCGAAAGTGGTTTACTGGCAGCTCAAGGGAAATTAGCATTCGAACATATGGAAATGTTAGAACATGATTTTTTCGATCTGTTCAACCCCACATCAAATATCGTTCTTCCGCCAAACAGTATTGCCTATCGTTTAAGGAAAAAAATTGATGAATTAGTAGATCCTTTGAATGGATCGAATGAACCTGGTCTAAAGCTTTTTTTTTTCGGCAGAGGAGATTTTAGGTGATAAACACCATAGCGGTTGGCATCTTGATGTTAATCTCGAACCTGATCCACGCCATATTTCTTCACCTGCATTAAAAGCGAAAGCTTTCCGCAATGTACTTTGGGGCATGACAGTGTTTTATCCTGTGCATGCATTTATTGGATCTTTCAAAAGAACACGTTTGTCTGATATTACCGAAGTTACGTTACCAATGGTAACTAATCGTAACTATCACTACCGACATATTTTTGGTAGAATTAAATTTCTCCAAAGAATTTGCAATGCATTATCAGACGTTGGTATATTTCCCTTTCATATTTTAAGTATTAATTTAATACTAAATATCAACAGATAACGACGAAAAATCGACTCCGGAATTATATTTGTTTGTACCACCAGTATATGACTTTGCATTTCGATATGATGTTAGTAATAAGCTATCGAGCCAAACTATGGATAATATTGTATCCATAATTACCGAGGAGGAAAGTATTAGGCCAGCAATTACAGCTGTAAATCAGCTTGCCAAAATCCTTTCCGAACATTTCGACCTTGATCAATTATTTCAACGACGTGGCACCAAAACCTTTAATTCTTTTCTTGGTACCAATACACGTAAGTTAAAAAGTATTATCGATAATTTGTACATTTATACTAATTATTTGATAGAACAAAACCGGGCTGCTCAACGTTCAGCAATTTTACCTGTCGGAAATTCTACCAAACGTAAACAGTTTGACAATTCTATATCGAGAACAGTCAAGCGATCTAGAATCGAACGCATCAGACCGTTTCAACAACCGTTCGAACTTAACGACCTTGATCTTAATCGATTGAATGAAAGTCTTGAACCAATCAGTGGTAATCAGGTAGCAATTGACGGAGCATGTTCTATTCTGAAATGTTTTTATTCAGTACTCAAAATCAATGAAATCTGTATTGAGATTCTGAATCACCCATCGCCGATACAATATTTCGTAACAAAAACCTCAAATATCACAAATTCGACAACTTTGAAATATGTTCGTGCAGCATGCGGAAAAGACGTCGATAAGGATAAGCTTTTATGTGCAAGGACTCAAGGTCCAAGCTTTAAAAGTTTGATGAAAAGCTTATCTGGCAATAATTTCAATCCTGATGGCTCACCTATACTTCCGGAATTTGGTGATATCAACAACTTGACGATTATAAGTCGAAAGTGTCTTATTTCCAGAACTGCTTGGGGATTTCCATCCTTGATCGAACTTTACAGTGACTGTGAAAATTCTGAAGATTTTCATACTGCTCAGACCACTTGGAAAGATCAGGAAAGACAGTTGAATCCACGTACCGAACCGAGCTTTCTGATGCTTCGAGTCTATGGACAGATGAGTATAAAAGCGATTCAAGTTGATCGGGTACTCACATCACTTTCCCGAAAGGCAAACAGTCTTGCAACTTTTATTCATGGTTATATTTCTCGACAAGAAAAACCGACTTTTAAAAGTGTAATGGATTTGATTGTATCATGGAAAATCCCTTATTTTGTTTCAGGTGGTTTATTGCCTTGGATGGTTACAGGAGATTTATTTGAGATTGGTCTTTGTCAACCACCCACAATCAACGATTTGGTGAATAAAGTATTACATGCTGGATCGGAGGGACCTCGCGGTGGTCTCAAAATTGCATATGTACAACTACCGACTGCTCGAGCAGAATATCCTGAAGATTCCAGAGAGCTCACACCGATTTTGGACAACGTTTTCAATGCGATGAAAGAGAATTGGTCAGATCTTTGGGGGAATGTCAGTGGCCACCAACGAGAATTGACATTTTTAGACTTTGAACATATTTTATGCAAAGTTTCAAGAATGAATCAATTTATTTCTAATAATTAGTTTCGATTCTATTTTCTATTCGTTATGTTTTTCAAGTTACTAAATCGTTATTTTCTATTCGTTATTGTTTTTAAATTACTAAATTGTCGTTTTCCATTTTATTTTATCGATACTACGTTCATTTCTTAAGTATATGATCTAGTTCAATTATTCAATATTTGTTTTTCCTTTCTTTTATCTACGCTTATTTCTTATGTTTTTCAATGATTCTAACATTTTTTGAATTTATTGTTTGAGTTTGATGATAAAATAAATAAAATTGCTTTTGTTTTATCCCCGTTCTTAATCAAAGCTAATGATATAGGCAACCACTTACATTAAAATAATATTTTAGAATATCGATCGATTTAAAACTGACTAACAGGATAAACAAATAAGTAACAGGATGGAAAATAAATTCCAGGATTGCCGAATGAAAACCATGATGCAAAAATAGTTCCAGGATTGAACACGGAATTATACATATAACCGAAGCACACCACTCCACAACCTGGCTGCAGATCAATCCCTAACAGGCAATAAATACCGAGAATTTGATATTCTAGTATCAGGTAATCGCCCGATCTTCATATATCACAAATTTTAAAAAAAAAGACAAAACTAACTCACAGGATGCACAAATAGGTTCTAGAATGCGTCATAAGTTTCAGGATGCACGAATAGGTTCTAGGATGTGTCATAAGTTTCAGGATGCACGAAAAAACTACAGGATGCAAAATTATTTCCAGGATTGAACACGGAATTATACATATAACCGAAGCACACCACTCCACAACCTGGCTGCAGATCAATCCCTAACAGGCAATAAATACCAAGAATTTGATATTCTAGCATCAGGTAATCGCCCGATCTTCATGCATCACAAGTTTTAAAAAAAAAAAGACAAAACTGACTCATAGGATGTACGAATAGGTTCTAGGATGTGTCATAAGTTTCAGGATGCACGAAAAAACTACAGGATGCAAAATTAGTTCCAGGATTGAACACGGAATTATACAAATAACCGAAGCACACCACTCCACAACCTGGCTGCAGATCAATCCCTAACAGGCAATAAATACCGAGAATTTGATATTCTAGCATCAGGTAATCGCCCGATCTTCATGCATCACAAGTTTTAAAAAAAAAAAGACAAAACTGACTCATAGGATGTACGAATAGGTTCTGGGATGCGTCATAAGTTTCAGGATGCACAAAAAAAGTACAGGATGCAAAATTAGTTCCAGGATTAAACACAGAATTATACACATAACCGAAGCACACCACTCCACAACCTGGCTGCAGATCAATCCTTAACAGGCAATGAATACCGAGAATTTGATATTCTAGCATCAGGTAATCGCCCGATCTTCATGCATCACAAGTTTTAAAAAAAAAAAGACAAAACTGACTCATAGGATGTACGAATAGGTTCTAGGATGTGTCATAAGTTTCAGGATGCACGAAAAAACTACAGGATGCAAAATTAGTTCCAGGATTGAACACGGAATTATACAAATAACCGAAGCACACCACTCCACAACCTGGCTGCAGATCAATCCCTAACAGGCAATAAATACCGAGAATTTGATATTCTAGCATCAGGTAATCGCCCGATCTTCATGCATCACAAGTTTTAAAAAAAAAAAGACAAAACTGACTCATAGGATGTACGAATAGGTTCTGGGATGCGTCATAAGTTTCAGGATGCACAAAAAAAGTACAGGATGCAAAATTAGTTCCAGGATTAAACACGGAATTATACACATAACCGAAGCACACCACTCCACAACCTGGCTGCAGATCAATCCTTAACAGGCAATGAATACCGAGAATTTGATATTCTAGTCTCAGGTAATCGCCCGATCTTCATATATCACAAATTTTAAAAAAGAAGACAAAACTAACTCACAGGATGCATGAATAGGTTCTGGGATGCGTCATAAGTTTCAGGATGCACAAATAAGGTCCAGAATGCAAAATGAATTTGAGAATTTACAAAATTTTCTATAATACAAAGGTGATAATAGTATATATATCGTATTTACTGATTTTAATATATATATACCTATTGAGTCAGTGCTGTTTGCTAAATTACAAAATATTGAAGCAAATATTTTAATTTTTCATACCCAAAAATGTCCAACCATAATGAACGATCATCATCCCGCAAAATTTATAATACAAACAATCGCACTTATAATATCCAACATCCTCCAATATTTGCGAATCCTCCCATGACAGAAAAAACTGATGAAGATTTAGAAGATACTGCAAGTGATGAGAGTTCTGAATCACAACCACCAATTCCACCAAGAGTCAAACAAAAACGTACATCAGAAAGTAGCCGACATCGATCGAACATCTCTACAATAAAATCAAAACACAAATCAAAAGAAAATCAAACTTCGAATTACATATCAAAATCTACAGACTCGGATGACAAAAGACTTTTTTCATTATCTGATCGGTTATCGGCTCTTGACAATTATACTACACGAAAACGTTCATCGAATCAAAGATCAGATAATTATCAAGAATTTTCTTCATCCTCTATCGTACCGACTGAGGTATTTTAATTCAATATCTATTATTTAAGCTGAAAATTAATGTTTACTTTAGGATATCATTCGAACCACCGATAATGTTCCTACAATTATTTCGTCAAGGAGATCTACAACATTTAGTCCAATCTTAGGAGTCGGGCAGGATTCTTCAATAAACCCTGTTCCGAGTGAATTGCTCGAAAAAAGTCCTGTCGAAATTATAGCAAACGATTCCCTGGAAATAAATCAGGTGGTGGAAACTGGATATGAACCAAGCGAAGCAACAACAGAAATGTCGGTTAAACAAAAACGGAAAGCCAAAGATCAATCTCCAGAGATTCAACGTTTGCTCGAAATATGCGGAGACTTGATTGAAACCAACACGATACTTATGGACCCATTTCCATATCCTGACAGATTGAATCTTATGATTACAAAGTTTTGGAATCAGACTTTGGCGAGTGAAGTTATTAAAGTTCCGATGAACACTGTTCTTAATTTAATAGTAAGTAATAATTATATGAATTCAGTTCGGTATTAATAAGTTTATAGTTACGGAATACACATTCGAATGTGAAATCTCATCTTCTTGATAAAACCAAAAAGCTTTTTGCAAAAGGTCTTCTGTATTCATTTGCAAATTATGATTCGATATCAGAAAAATCAGAAAGAATTCTGTATTTGTTGGAGAATGACAGATTTATAACCGATGCAGAAAATTACGAGGTTTGGAATCTGATTATCTTAAATTATTATTAAAAATATATTAATATAAATAGACTGCTAGATGTCACTTCTGGGCACCTGAAATAGTATCTGTCATTCACGATAACTATTTTTCAGGAATAAAGACTAAAGGTGTTAAAGACTCAGAGTTTCTTCAGAAAATAACACCGATTTTTATCTTTTTAGTAACGACAGCAATTTGGCACACATTGACGGCGTGGAAGACTGGCGTGTATATCAAACCAAAAAATTTCACATGTTCTAATCCGGATGTTATAAGTAAAAACTCTTACTGATATAAGTTTTGAATTTCATGTACTAACAATTTTAATCAATAGATACATTTTTACGAATGAAGAATACTTGGTTTCGTAGAAGTATAGCAAATCAAAACGGATTGCTCGAAATGATACGTGATTCAATTAAAGATAAAGTAAGTAGCAATTTTTCAATATTGAAAGTGACTAACTTATTAATTTATAGATTGAATTGATACGAAATAATCAAACTGAAGTTAGTATACAAGGCTTTAGCGAAGATGATGACTTGTTGGCTCAAGCATTATTAAACCGAAAACGTGCACGAATTAGACAAAATCAAGCATAGTTTCAAAATATTTGTTTTCTATTTCCTTATACTTTTGATTTTCCTCAATGTTCTTGTGTATTTTTGTTTTGTTTTACGAATTGGGTTTTGGTATCTTCTAAATTTTTGAAAAATTTTTTTTTTTTTAAGAATTAATGAGAGTACAGAAATACGAGTATTAAATTCAAATTATATCAAACCAATATTATTTGCTCCAGCCTTTCATACTCCTTAACGGCTTCCAAATCAACTTTCACTGCTTTCGGATCAAACGAAATAATTTCAACATCCTCTAATCTTTTTGCTCGACTTAATGCAGTATACGCTTGACCATTCGAAAAAATCGTTTCATCGAAATTGACGCAAATATGATTTAAAGACAATCCTTGCGTTTTGTGTACTGTTAAAGCGAAGGCATTTTGAATCGGCAGTTGAGTACGAGAATATCTGATTCCATTGCTTCGAAAATATGACGTTTCGGGTTTGACCTCTACCATCTATTTCAAATTAGAACTCAAATATAGTTCAGTTTATAGATATAGACATAAATACTTACCCTAATTCCGTCGGAAGTCGGGAATGCAATGTTCGGGTATCCATCTTCGATTAAAGATACAATAACACCGCATGTACCATTAGATATACCGAGCGATATCATAGTGTTATTCAAAAACATCACTTTAGCACCACTTACACAAACAACCTTTGAAGGTAAATTGGTGCCAGTTTTAAATGTTCGTGAGTTTTCCATCGAGTCTAAAACCTGCCCTTCTTCCCGATCAATTGCCATATGAATTTTACTTTCTGTTATTGGTAGTGTATCCAAAAATAAATCGTTGATTTGGTTTGCTGTTTTACGGAAAGATACGAGAAATGTTGTCAAATATGTATTGTGGTTAATATTGTAAGATTCAACTTTCTTTTGTAATATTTGGGAACTTTCGACAGAAATTCTTCCGAACCTTAAATCGTTTAAAAGGTTGAAAAATGTCGGATCACTTTGCTGACGCATTGGTTCCTTTAAGAAAATTGGAATGAACAAACGCCATATAGAGGAATAAAAAATTTTATGACCCGATACAGGTGATAGCTGAAGGAGATCTCCCAAACAAATAACATGTATGTTTCCAAATGGTTTAACTGAATCATGAATACGTGCAAACAATCCCGAGACAAAATCAAAAAGTTCGGAGCTGACCATTGATACTTCATCAATAATTATAATTTGAATTTGTTTTAATTGATTTAGTCTTTCGGGTAGTTGTGGAACATTTGAACAAAAGTTCAAACTGTTTTCTCCTCCGCCGATGTTCAAAGCCGAATGTATCGTTTGTCCCGATATATTATTCGCTGCAATTCCGGTAGAAGCAAGTTTTAAATATTGAAACCGACGAGTTTTAAACCAATTTTCCAAACAATTCAAAAGAAATGACTTTCCGGTACCAGCAGATCCGGTTATGAAATATTTAAGAGAATATCCACCGGCTTGATACGTGTCAAACGATTGTACAATCTGATTGTATGCTCTATATTGATCGCCATTCAATTGAAATACCAAATCTGATCTCGAAATGGAAGGTGCTAAATTTTGCATCTCGCAGAGCTGATTTCGAACAATTTCCCTTATCGAACACTCAGCGATATTTGTGACTGCTTGAACCAATTCCTCATATATATTTGAAAAATATAGATGAGAATCCCGCGATACTTTTATATATGATAACTGTAGCTGACGATATATATCCGGATAGGTCGTGAGTACATGATTTCGGTATGTTGAGAAACCACCCAAAACCTCCTCGTCGGATCTCCAATGCTGTATTTCAAGCAATTTATTGAAGAAAAAGCTTTCGCCATCTGATAATCTTCGAAAACATGTCCGTATCAAAACAGCCTATAAAGGAGATAAAATGTTAACTGAGAAAATATTTCGAATAGCATTGAATAAAAAACGGACCTTTTTCCTTCCATATACGTAATTGCCGTATCCATCAAGATTACAATGAGAGGAGTTCGAACGATGACGTCGTTGAATTTTATACATTGAATGGTATTTGAAATAAGTGAGAAATTCAAATTCTTCAGCTTGAGGGCGTTTATAATATTTTTCAATCGCATCGGCATAGAATATATCTTCCGAATCTGGATTCGATACTAATAACCAAGATGGCTTTACCACCGCTGACCTATCAGATGGAACTGAAGTTGGTAGGTATAGAGTTGAACTTGACATTTGAAAAATTGGAAAACTTAATAACAAAACCATGTTTTCCATCGAACCCATTCGACGAGCAAGTATGTGATCACTGATTTTCTTTGTACTGTTCGGAGTTACAACTGATTTAGGTTCCGATTTTGTAACATATTTAGTGATATATTTTGCTAGTCCGCCGGTGGTACAATATTGTACATTGCAATGTGCTTTCCATAACAACAATAAACGTGGACTATATGGAACAACAAATCGGTCTGCCTCTTTTAATCGTCGATAGGTGTATCGAATTTCATTTGGCTTCCGAAAGGTATACATCGATATATCCGCTGGAAAACCCTTTCGACAAATTTCATTCATATTGGAATCTTCTTTACCACAGAGATTGACTGAACAACGATGAATCTGATTCTCTGTTACCAATCGATAAAGTTCCGGTTCTTTCTCTGGATCCGGAATATCTGCTCTTATAAAGTTGTCCTCAATCAATTCTTCTTGATTCTTTTCACACCATAAAAGTGAATGAGTATGTATCGCCCCTCTCAATTGAAATTCATGTCTCTCCACAATTTCCTTTAATTGTCCGAATCCTGAAACTGATGCACCCTTGAAATAGGAAGATTTTAGCCAATGCCACCGTTCGTAATAATACTGAACTGCATCCCATGGTCGATTCGATGGAAGTATATCCCGATTACCTGTTCTCGATAGAATTTTGATATATTCAGACCAACGTTCAGAAAAGGTCGTCGTTACAAAAATAGTTGGAATCCCAAACGTTTGTAGCATACAACGTACATTGCTTTCTGCATTTAAAAAAAATGTATCGCCTGTTCGAATGAATCTTGGAATTGAAGTTGTGAGTTGTTCATTAATAATCATCCATGGTCCATACTGACTTTGTTGAAGTATTTCTGCCGCGGTTTGACGATGATGTTCTGTACGTTCCTTTTGATTCTTCATTATTCGGCAATTATTTTGAAAAATACGTATTGCTTCAATTTCCATATATATCCATGAACTCCAATAATGGTCATCCCTATAATATGGAACTACCGAATTCAATTTGATTTTGGCGTCCACAAGCATCGTTTGTTTGAATGGTACATTATAGTTTGATTGACGTATATATTGACCTCTTCCCCATGGATAAAGAACTGGAAAGAGCAACGGTTCAATTATTGGATCTGATCGATTAATTTCAAGTCTTTCATTGCCAATTGCTGTTTCGGTGGGAACTGAACCAACTGGTAAACGATAATACCTATAATCCTCATTCGTAGTGCTAACTGGATAATCATAAGGATTTAAAACAATATCAGGTCGATTCCATGGCATTTGCTGTTGAATACTAAAAACATCTCCAGAAAAGACGGTAACTGTTGGAAACACATCGAGTCCTAATTCTCTTCTGACATCGTATCTTTGAAATAAAAGATTATGTTCCAACAACCATCGCTTTGCTCTATTTAGCAATTCCAGATCATGACCTTCATCAAAACGATTATGTGAACTCTCGAGATAAGCTCCAATACATCCAGTATACAACGCGATCGCTCTTCGGTTTCGAGTCAAATTCATTTTGCCGGTAAGTGTCCGATATGTTGAATACGGATTGTTATTTTGATTGTAACTTTGAGTTCGTCCAAGGTTTGTCTGCAAACTGACTGGTGATAAAAATATCCGAGATCGTTGTGGTAGTTCAATTAATTCCACTGGCCATGGTCCTGAATTAGGTGGAGAACGGGGTTTAATGTTACAGGAGTAACATACTGCGATAAACTCGATGCCGTCTCTCTCCTTTACGATAACTTTGTATCCAAAACTGGAGGTTAATGGATACTCCGTACCAACTGATCGTTTAATCCACTTGATACTTCTTTGGAGTAATAGAACCCCACAATACGAACACGGAAATTCGGGAAATGATTTATCGTATTTCGAATGAAACCGCTCCATCAAATTGCTAAAAAGACGATCAGGAACAAATATCGGGGCGATAATTTCTGAAGATATCGCTTTCGATAAAACGGGTATAGTTTCTCCTTTTGTTCCAGAATTATGCTGATTTGAAATTGAACGATTAATTCGGTTTTGATTTAGTATATAAGGATATGTTGAAAAGAGTCCTCGATTCAATTCTAGAAGCTCGTCTGATGGAACAAATAATCCATTCCCACTATTTGAATTGGAAGTTTTATCCTCCGATGTTGGAATTTGAGGAATGTATGTACGAAAGCGAATCATTGGTTATAAACAAGTATCAGGTACAAGAGTCACTAATGATATACAAATGTCAGTATTTTTTTCTGCAGTAGTGCTTGTTGAGGATTATTCCTAATGTTATAAAGAACACAATAGGTAAAACGATAAATCAAATCAACAAATTAAGAAAAGATAAGAAATTTGCAAAATGAAAAAACCAAAATCAGCAACATAAATCATTCATAAAAAATAATTAAAAAAGAATTTAATTTCCGACTTTTCCTTTCCCTTTACTGCGACTAGGTATTCTTCCAGAGCTTCTATAACGTCCAACAGCTTTTTCCATAGCAACAGGCTGAACAAACTCGGTTGTTTGTTCCTGAAGTGATTCCTCGGCTATTTCAGAAAGTGGAGATATACTTCGAGATTTGATCTTATCAATAATTTGAAATTGATCCCGGTCTTTGACTGTTGGAGGAGACGAAGAAGTCTCATCTGGAAGAGATGAAAGATCGATCGTTTCGATATTACGAGGATTGATCTGAGTACCTAATGGAGACTCATTGATGAATGAACTTTTTGAAAGTGGTTTTCTGAATGTGCTCGAACTTGGAGAATTTGGAGGTGTTTCTGCTGGTATTGATGATAAACGATCATCAAACAATTGTGTAGGATTTGAATCTACATCGACTGATGGAATTGGATTTGGAATCGAATATCCTTTTGAATTGGAAGAAGTAGACGGATCCAACAATTTAGTGTTTTCAGTTCTGGAACAACTCGGTAGACATGATGTGGTTTCCTTTTCAATTTTAATACGGGGCTGCTTCGCTGGACTCTGTGAAGCTGATGAATTGATTGGACCTAAAATTGGTTTCCGTTTTGATTTCGGCGTTTGGAATAGACTCGCTTTCTCATCTCTAGGTATGAGATTATGAGCAAAATTGATGAGCAGTACATGTCCGTATGCTGATATAAGTTAGAAAATAATCGTGTATAAAACAACAAATAAAGTTTACAAACCTCGATCACCTTCACATTCATATTGATACCTGAATACTATATCTAAAACCTTACCAGAGTTTAAGTAAGGTGAAAGCTTCGAAAACAATGGTGATTTTGTATCGATTAAAAATGTCAAAAGACACTATATATTGGTTTATATTTTTTGATCAATTTGGAATCACAAACAAAAACCAAAACTAAAATTGGAGTTGAAGCTTACGGGTATATCAGTACGTGTTTCAACATCATATTGGTACATCTGTCCATCGAAGTACTTTAATCCATTCGACTCATTGATATGAATTAGATCTGTCATCATTGTAACAGTTGAAGTCAAATATGGATCGTTCGGAATTGTATCATCATTCGATCCAGTTTTGAAGAGTTCCAAATTCCGTATCAATGTATACTAAAAAACACAATTGTCAGATATATATCGTAATAGCATTACACATACCAGAAATTCATCAAATTATGAAATTAATTTGATTGAAAAACCTACCTTCGGTGTTTTCCCAACAGCCAAAATAACTGTTCCGTTGAATAGGTAGAATCGATCAGGATATAGGGAGGATTCAAGTGATTGAAAGAACTTGATATCGATATGTCTTCGGGTCCCATCCATATCCTCATGGGAAACAGTTGCACATTTATAACCACCAACTCCACTCACAGCAATCACGAGGCCAACAAATGTAAAGTAAATAGGCATGATTTTTTTCAGAATCAATTTAAGAAGAAACAAATTGGATAAACGTTGCAATTCAATGACTTACCTTAACAGTTCGAATAGTTGTCATGAGCAAGCTGCCTAGGGAATATGTACTGTTTAAAGCTTTGAAACATGAATATAAATAGTTAGGCGACCAACACACCTTGTACTAAAAATAGTAATACTTTCGATCGTGAGAGTTGCTTCTATGACGTATATCGCTATCGTCAACAGGGTTGTAGATATCTCAACTGCTAAATTTATATCGCAAAATTTCTTGTTTCCTATATCCTCGTTAAAATATTCCTAAAACTACTATATAATTAATAAAATATTATTTCAATTCATTTATTTTAACCGTAAACATCAAAATATTTTGTTCTCAAATAATTGAAATCGGTTTTCTGTTACCATTAATAATTTATAATAAAAATGAGTAATGTGAATAGTTTACGTCATTACAAAAACTCCATGAAACTTATTTCTAAACGGTTGACAACACGTATAGGATTCAGCTAAATCCATTTTAAAAACACACTATTTGAAAGTTTTTGAAGATTTCGATTATAGATTTGCGAAATATTTTTCCAAAATCTATTTTTCCGACTTTAGAAACAATTAGGTAAGATTTTTAATATAAAAAACTCAGTACAATCTGACAATTTGAAATTCAAATCCTATTGAATCGTACATGAATATAAATACGAAATATATATAAAGATGATATTATAAGTAAAGATATAAATTAAATATATTTTTAATTAATATTTTTAAAATATTTAAAAAATATATAATAAAAATAAAAAATAAAAAATAAATAAAATAAATAAAAAATAAAAAAATAGAAAAAACTGTGTAGAATTGCTTTAGGAAATTCTTTCCAAATCAGGTTTAGTGTTGTTATACTTCCACATTTTTTTTTCCGGTGCATACATTTATCAGTTTTAACTAACATGCTGATTTTTTGCAGTGAGGGTAAAAATGATAAAACTATGGAGAGAGAGAAAAAAGAACTCAGACACAAAAGACCCAAGCAGTCGGAAAGGACACACTCGTCTGTCCGTACAAAAAGCCAATCCCATTGACGCCGTTATGTACTCTTTCCCCCCAACCATGACCGACCCAAAAGAATGCCCGTTCCTGTCCATCCCATTTTAAAGAGCGACCGACCCATCGACGAAAAAAAAAAAGCACTCACAACCGGATGTTGACATCCACGCAGGGCAGCCTCCATTCCCTCCTGCCCACAGCGGTCCTCAGCCAGTCGAGCCCGATGCCGGTCCATACCTGGCCAGCACTGGCCCCGGCCTGGATGGCAGCGCCGCCGCTGCTGCCAACGGCTCCTGCGGCGGCGTTCATGACGGTGCCGGCGGCGGTGGAGAGGAAACGGGGTTCGAACCAGTGGCCGTTGTTGGAGTCGAGGAAGCAGCGGTCAGACCAGTAGCACGAGGAGGAGAAGAGGGTGAGCATTATTAGGGAGCAGTAGACACTGTGGTGGGTGGGTGGAGTTAGTTTGTGGGCCTTGGGGGATAGGGATAAGGGGGGAACCTACCATGGTCGGTGGAAGAGGTATGTCGAGATCAGGAATAGGACGATGAATGCCGGGGAGGCAGAGGTGGGAATAAAGAGGAGGGGTAGCCAGCTGCAGAGGGATGAATACACATGATTTAGCAAATATCTCGGGGGGGGGGGACAAAGAGAAGCCTTAGAACTCACCTGCGTAGACAGAACATGGCGGCGAGTGCGGTAGAACGTTTGTAGTGGGCTGATGGAAAGTCTGCAAGCTGTCTTTGCACGAGATGCCGAGGGCGGGCTCAGTCAAGAGCTTCTGAGTTTAGGACCGACGGTGTATAGTATATGCGACCAGTCTAAGCGTTGTTGCAGGATCTGCAGTCGAGGGCTGTTGGGTGGGATCGTGAGTCTATCGTGTAAGGGCAACGAAAGGCAGGGGAGTTGCCGGAACTAGGGACTCGATCGAAGACGACACAGAAGAGAAGAGCGATAAACGACTGCCGAGGCCTCCTGTGATAGGCCTGTCTGGTCGACTGTTTCTATGGAAGAGCGTTCACTAGCTGGCGAGTCACCAGTCGAGGTGGAGGGGTTGATATGTATGTAGGATGTGGGAGAGATCTAGAGGCTGGCTCTCTTCCAAAAGATTTTTGGTGTTTGATCTGGGCAGTTTCGCGCTTAACCATGAATTATCTACCGTTGGAAAGCTCAGTAACCAGCTTGACTTTAAAATGAGCATGCGCAGACTCAATAATAATAACAAGGTCTTTGTGTTATTTAGGCAGTGCCACCCATGCTTTCTCCCATGTACTCTAGAGACATAGGTGCTGCGGTACATGTATCCAGAGCTGCTACCTAGACTCAGATTGATAATAATGCGTGCCTACAAGGTTTACTTTTCCGATTGATATGGGGTGCTGCGGTTGGTTATTGCCACTGCGTGACACCCGGCAGTAATAGTAGAGATGTAGCAAGCATAATGTGCACACACCACACACGCAATGACTGTATGGAACCACTGCATCTGCCAAGATTTCGACAGCCAGGCCTACCATTTAACAACCACATCACGCAGCCAAAAACGTTTGCTGTAAAGTTTACCTACAGACTTGCTCCCTCGACTCCTGTCTGCCTTCCTTCTCTTCTCCTGCTGCACAGAAGCACACCCTAGCCAGCACACCACGGCCTTCCCGCCGTTTCGTCCATTCATCACTCTCATCTCACCCACCCTCCCCATCTAACTTCATCATTCATCATCACCATCATCATTCAAATCCCCAAACACTCCCCCCATCACTTTTCTACGCTTGCTCATCGCTTTGGATTCTTCTCTAGCCTCTTTTTACAACTACCCCTGCAGAACCAATTTTGTTTTCGCTTTTATCGCCAAATATTCTCGGAATATTATAATAAGCAATCAGTAACTTAGCACAGAGCAATAACATGTCTTCAGAAAGTTTTGAGGGTTTGTTTGATCGTCTTCGACGCCAGTCAACCATGAGCCCTCAGCATGGCGAGGTGCCTTTGAATCAGGTCCGCCAGCAGCAACCATCACCACTACAGCAACAGCAGCAGCAGCAACAACAACAGCAATATCAGCAGCATCCGCAGCAAATCCACGGAATCTATCCACCCTCTGCTCCTTCTGTAAATTCACTTCCTCCCGCGCAGCAGTACCTTCGCCAGTCTGAGCCCGTAGGTAGTCCAGGGCCCCACCAACAACCGTCTGGGATGTCTGCCTATCAACAGCCGCAACAGCAACAGCCCCAGCGCACATATACAATGTCCTCAGATAATTTGGGTAACACTCAGACACCTCCACCATTTCCGTTGCCGCCCTATGCAAACCCTATGTCTCCTCCATCTTTTGAGAGTGGAAATGCAGTAAGGCCTGCAAGTCTTCTGCAACTGTTAAAGTTTCAGGCATCTCCAACAGCGCCCGTAGCTGAAAACTTACAGGAGCCTATAACCGCATCACCGCCTCCAAGGCCATCTGTGGTGTCCCCGCCGCCGATTTCCCACCAACAGCCGTCGAATAGCCGTAACCATTCTGCATCCGACCTTATGGCGTCGTTGAGACGTTCTGCAACAGAGCCTTCTCATAGTCCAAACATTCGTCAGGATCAACTTCCTCCAGAGATGCAGCACTCGCAATCTATGAGAAAGTCTACTCCAGGACCTGTAAACCCCCAAGATCTTGTTCTTCAGCTTCTTGGCCGTCCTAAACCTTCACAGGATGATATGTCAGCTCTTGCTGCAACGATGGAAGGGGGCAATGGCTCTACAGATCCCGCCATCATGAATAATCGTCCTTCACCAAGTTCTAGGTTTGCAACGACAAGGTCGCCAATCACACCAGATGGCCGCCCAATGTCTGTCCCTCCAGCTGTGCCTCCCAAGTCCCCTGAAGCCAATGTTAATTCAATGCCCTTCTCCACCCCTAACCCAAGTAAAGGCCTGTTCACTTATGTGAACCCATTTGAACAACTACATGCCACTAGTCCCCGTAATCGAACTCCAAGGGGCTCAACGCCTGTTCCAGGTGGGAGAAAGAGTGCTGCTGGCTTGAGGGAATTGAAAGCCGAGAATATCCCACTACCATCATCATCCACAAACTCGCTGGGAGAACCGTCTCCAAATGCTGCAATTGAAGCTGAGGCAGCCAAAGATGCTTCCACCTTGGACCAAGCGTTAGAAAAAGAAGAATTAATGGAGAAGATTGATGATATGTTGGATCAGCAGGCCGAGAACAGATCTGCGACACCCGCCGAGAAGCAATCTACCCCTCTTGAACATACTCTGAAATCATTGGGGCTCGAAGATCTCGTGCAATCGGCTCCCACGCAGCCTCAAGAGACACAGCCCCAAGAGACACAACCTCAAGAGGAACAGCCGACTGAGAAGGCCCCTGCCCCCAAAGGAGCGGCAGAGGAGGAGGACGATTACGAATCGGCATCTGAGACTGCGTCTGCAGACTCCCCTGTGATCGTTTATAATTTTCCCATGAAGCCTTTTTCGTCAATCACAATTATTCCTGCCGCCATTCAGCGTTTGAAGTTCCCAAGCTCCAAGATCGCGGACATTGCTCGCATGCCCAGGACCTTCGACCAGCTTGATCGCAATCTCATTGCTGCATCTCACCAGTTCATTGTATATGCAATCAGCAAAAGTAATGGCCGTGGTGGAATTCGGGTACTCAGGCAATATGATGGCAAGGATAAAGTCTTGATGAAGGACTGCCCTGATCGGACCTTCAACGTGACTATTAGCAGAGGAGATAGGGTGTTGGGAACTGGAATTTCTGGAGCGGTAGTTTGGGCTGAACTTGGTGGTGACTTTGAAGGTCTCGACTGGAACTGCATGTTTGTATTTCCCCCAAGTGAGGAACAAGGCCAGAGCAACGGCGTTTTGAAGTCACGTGCAAGAAGGACCTCAAGGCAACTGGATGTATTTGCGATTGGTAGAGGCAAAACGATCAGCATTATCCACGC